TCTAACACGTTGTCTATTTTGGGTTTTATGGGTGAGAGAAACAGATGAAGATAATTTCCTCTCTTTCTCTGTTTCTTATTAGTAAATTGTGAAGAATTTTTAGGTACAGAACATTCAAGCAAGATCATCATCTGTATGCAAGGGAAAATTATTTCCTTATAGTTTGGTCAATGTGTGAGTCAGAGTCACATAAAAGATGTAATAAGCTGCTTCTGCTTGCAATTAGAGGTTTTGTTCTGATGGCAAATTAAAATTTAAGTCCAGTAGAATTAGGTGTGAAATCTTGCAGATTCCCAGCTAACTGTATATTGTGATTCCATTTGGAAGCTAATAGGACTCAGAAAATTGCTCTTATTGGCCTCTACTTTTCATTTTACCTACAATTCTAGAATTGTGCAAAAAGACAGCAAACTGGCACAAATATATTTTCAGTCTATATTCACTGCTCACTTCCTTCTTTTAATGAAAATAAGCAAGACACATTTATACCTTTTTATTAAAAAAAAAGAGTACCACTCTTAATGCTTATACACCTAACAGATGGAATGAAATTACAAAGAAATGCCTGACAGTATAGGTTCTGCTTTTAGTGAAAAATTTGCATAGTCAAAGAATTCAAACATTTTTTGTTTTAAATTGTGCTTGCCCTAAAATCAGCCTGTTCATTTGTCTTTATAACTGCAGTTATGGGGAATCATCTCAGAAGCTTCCAAGTCTGCCACAAAGACAGATGTTTGAACGATCCCCTCCTGCTCAGTATCAGCTGTTCAGCAGAGGTTGCCTAGAAAATAAAGGACCTCTAATTCTGGCTGCCTTTTCAGGAATAATACGAGGAATTTTTTAATAATAAAGGTACCTTCTTTGTTCTGGGGCTCAACTAAAAAGCCTTTGGCAAACACAGATTCAGCTCACCAATAGAACTTGCTGTGGTGAGTTGAACTTTACTTGCAGGCCAATTATACAGCCAGTATAATTTTTTTGAAGGTATAGTGGGGCTCATCACACTGAGTCCCCCATGAATTCTGCATCTCTCTCTTTCAGGCATGAATGATTCATTAATTTGGTGAATAAAAGCAGCAGCAGATCAGGTTACTTGAGAAAGAATGTAGGTAGCCTCATGGTGTGCTCTGCTGCGGGTGCAGAGTGAGGTAGTAAATCTGATTTAGCATTCAAATATAAACTGTCTTGAAGGTCTAGTTGCGGATGTTCCTGCCCATTGCAAGGAGGTGGATGAGAGGACCTTTAAGACGTCCCTTCCAACTCAAACAAATCTATGATTCTATGAAGGCTACACTATCACATTGCTTTATTCATAAGTTAACGTCCTTAGGTATAGATGTGAAGAGGATCTAAAGAAATGAAATCAAGAATACCCAAACCAGGCGACAATATAGTGTCAGTATACTCTTCGAAGTTGCCATGTGATTTTCTCTAAATAGGCTTCACAAGGAGTGGTCTAACTGTAAAAGAAATCTCTGTTCCTGTTTTCCTTTCCTTTGGTCCCTTGCTTACCATCATAGCAGAGGTTCTTCAGAGTCTAAAAGCCTTCTGAGAGTTGAATCACAAAGCAAAACAACGAAAACGAAACTTGATTTTGCATATTAGGGTCTTGACCAGGGAAAGGAGCAGAAGAAAATTCCCTAGAAATGAACTCCCATGAAAAAAATCATAAAACCCCATAAAAGATTAAGTATAATGGTGATCCAAAAACATGGTAACAAAACATGGCAAATCATTTTTAGAGGGAACTCGTTTCCTTTTCATGAATTAGAATGACCTCTGCATACTTCACCAAAGTTCTGATTTTACCACTCCTGAGCTCATAAAAGAGGGTATATTTCATCCCAGCGGTAATGTTAATATACTGTGAGTTAAGCCCAGAAATATGCACTGAACATCCCCCATTACCAGACAGGGTGGAGCCTTCTGCATAGGAATAAGACTTGAGTAACCCTTTTGAAGCCTTTCTCCTCTCATGGCCCTCCCTGCTGCTACACTCTGGTCTGAGGAGCATGTATGTGTGGAGACATGACAGCCTGCAAAGTAAGATACCCAGGTAACCCCAGAAACGCCAAGGCAGAAAAGAATTCAAAAAAAGTTTATTTAGAAGACCAGAACACGAGAAACCTAACAGTGCAGTTTGCACACTGGGCCTCAGGGAGGAAAAGGCCAGTTCCCACCCTCTCAGGGCCACTTTATCCTCTCTGTTTCTCCCCTGCCTTCCCAAAGCCTCTGTGTATGTCTGTTAGGGCTATCTCTCTACTCTCATATATCAGAGAGAGAGGCTGAGAAGGTCTCGTTATGTAGTGGGGGGACAAAGCACTGAAACTGCCTTTGAGAAAGAGTTACCATTTAGGCAGAAAGCCTTCCTAGTGAAAACTGAGTTCCTAGGTTTCTGTCACAAATACTTCTAAAATTGTACCTATCCCGACACAGCCTATGTAGTGACTGGGCTTGCTGGAGCCTCTGTGAGAGATCTCCATTCACACTTAATATTGGTTCTTAATATTCAGCAGTCACTGGTGGATTAGAAACACCACTATTCACATGTGGGTCACGAAGGGAAGGAAATTAACATAAAAAAGTACGGCACAGTGTGACCATAAGTATTACTAGGATGACTACTGAAACATGGGGTGGCCTCCATCTCTGATAAATTACACCAAAATCTAATTTGGCTTCTCTAACAGCAGGTATCCTAAGAGCCACCTTTGCCCCACCTGTCATTTCTAAATAGGCCATACGTGCTTCAGTTACCAGAGGTACAAGAAATTCACAGATAGCTACTCTGTCTGGAAATGTTATGGGTGGACATAATCAAATAGCAAGGAAAAAAATTATCTCCCTCTCTTCTCCTCATTGCAGCTAAAGCTGTGATAGAACATTATCATGGCTCTCCTCAACCTTCAAGACAGAGCAAATCTAGGTGCTTCGTCCTTCCTTGTTAATTCCCATTTCCTCTTCTTCCTGAAGTTGCCTCTTTACTTTGCTTATATACACATCAATCAAAGAATTTGTTTGGATTTCTGTCCAAATTTCTGCTATTCTGTAATAAGAGGAGAACAGCTTCTTTTCAGGTATATGGTAGGAGCTGATGCTCTCCATTTTAGAGGGTTGCACAGCTCTGCCAAGCTCATCTGCCTAAAGCAAAATGGAGATCAGGTGTGGCACACTGACTCCCCTGGAGGTAATGCCATCCTGGTGTTAGCCTCTCTGCTTCATGAAATGGGACAACCTGGCTGACTTTGAAGACCTGATTGCATGATTGAGTTAGATAGCAACAGTGCTGACTTTTAAGCAGCCAACTGATGTTAGATTTGAGCTGATTAAGAAGTCAGGGAGGGAGTGGGGGGTGTAGGTCCTCAGCAAACAATGATACCTCTCTGTGATGAGATGGCATTCTGGAGCACATGGCGCAAAGCTCAGACTGCAGGAAACTGACAGCTCTGTGGAAAAGCTCTGCGTAAACATCTCTGCAGGCATCAAGCTCTCTGGAAAAGCTGCCAAGATGATTCCACAGAACATTATTTTCCAGTTTGCTTAATGAAGAAGCAGCATGCAGTGGTAACAGTAAACAGTTTTAAGCACTCGCCACACCTCCGTTAATTAAAAACTAAGCTGAATTCTGGAGCCTTAATACAGACTTGCGTCCATAAGCATTATTGTAGAGTGCTTAGGAGACCAGAGTAGAACAAGACTTTGATTATTTCAAACAGAGCCTGTAAACTTCGGGTTTTTTCCATTGCTTCCCTTCCGTAAAGTAAGGCTTATGGTCGGAGGTCCGGCGAGCCAGCGTTTGAGGGACGGCACAGGGCCACAGCTGGGGGAGCTGCGTGGCCCGGGGAGACACGGGCCCCGTGTGGGTCGCACGCCCCGGCGGCCGGCGGCCGGGGGTGTGGGATGGCACGCTGGGCGGCCGGGGCAGAGCGGGGCCGGGCGCGGCCTTTCCCGCCGGAGCGCGCCGGGAGCCCCGCGCGGGCGGCGCGAGGGGGCGCGCGGGTGCCGTGAGGCGCTGCGCGCTCGCGCAGATGCCGCGCCCGGGGGCGCGCGGGGGCGGCTCGCGAGGTGCCGGGGTCGGCGGCGGGGCTCTGAGGGAGCGGGGCGGGGGTGCTCCCCCGCAGGAAAGGACACCGGGGCGCCCTAAAAATAGTGCCGGCCGAGGCCGGGCTGGCCGTCACGGCGCTGCGGGGGAAAGCGCCAGGTGGGTTTTGGGGTGGGGGCAAGGAGGGGTGCAACACGGACCCCGGGCGACCGGCGCTTCTGCAGCCGGCCCCGCTGGGAAAGTGCTGCCGCTTGCCTGCCCGCCGGCTTCGGCAGAGGGGTCTGAATCCGCCTGCGTGCAAGAATAAATGAGGGAATGCCTCGAGACGGTCGGTGAATGACAGAGAGGGCTGCGCCGCTGCCCCGCTACAGCCCGGGGTGCCCTCGGTGCTCGGAGGCGGGGGGACCCGCGGACGAGTCGGCCGCGGTGACCACAGGAATCCCGGCGGCCTGAGTCGGCGGGAAGTGGTCTGTAAGGCCTAGGGAGCATTTCCCCGTGCTCCCGAGGAGGTTGTGCGTACGCGAAAAGGTGTTTGCGGAGGCGAGCGGGGGGCGAGGGCGACGAGGTGCGGGGAGCCCGTCGCCCTGGCAAAGCCCGGCCGCCTCCGCCCAGGTCGTCGGCCAGCGAGTACGACGCAGAGGTGGAATGAAGCTTCCCGAAGGCTCCCATGGCAAGCAAGGGATGCACGCCCTCCCGCTACCCACCATCCCAAAACTATGTTTGTGGGCTTCTTACTTTGTATTTAGTGTGTTTATTAAGGCTTTATGTTCGCGAGAGGCTGCATTTGCGAGGAATGCTGTGCTGCCGAGTGCCTGCACTGGCGCTGCCGTCGCTGGGAAGCGCCGGTTCAGGCTTCAGCCCGCGGTCCGGCGGAGCTCCTGCTCCCGCTCGGGTGGTGCTGCGGCGGGACCCCCCTTGTCCCTGCACCCTCGGTGCCCGCCGAGTCTCTCCAGGCATGTGCCGCATGTGCCCGTCCGCTTATTTTAAATACACCGGTCCCCCTGGATGTTGCAACAGCGAAGTAAACAGAGATACAAAGAAAATGCGCCTAACTTGAGGAAAAACGTCAGTGTTGCACTGTCAAGGAGAGCTGATCACTATTCTTCAAGAACCAGTAAAAAGCAACTAAGAAACATTAAACATACAGAGGAATTAGAGGCTCTAATATTTGAGTGGCCTCTGTATAATAATATGAAAATGTTACTGCACAGCAATAATAGGTATCCAATTTATCGATGTGCACAGGCAGGAAAAAATAGTCTTTCTGTTACGTCTTTATGCAATTTCGGAGCATTAGTACTGAAATTAGGGTAAGTGGGAAATAATGTGTATAATTACAAGAAAAAAGACCGACAAAGATTGAAAAGGACAGGCGGTTAGCAGCACACAAAACCTCACGAAGACAGTAGGCTTGTTAGGTGCAGGGACTGTTTATCTGGATGGCTGCTCACTCGATGTTTTAAGAGCAAACACTATTTTTATAATAAAGCATTTATTGCTTCTCGTCATAACAATAATCACTCTACGAGCAGAATTCTTCCCCTTTCTCTCGCACGTAATGATTATGTTCTGTTGCCGAGAATGTAATGATTGGAGCTGCAAAACTCGGATTTTCATATTTTCTAGATGCTCCCCTTATCACTAAGGATAATTACGGATAGGAGAATAATGGCCAGGGTAACTTCGTAAGAGATAGTCTGTGCGCATTTCTTCCTCTCTGTGCAAAGACTACTTTGCACTTATTTTATTCATTTGACTTTGTTCAGCCACTGGCCCCTGGCCAAGGAGAGCATGTACACAATAACAGAAAATCCTGTGATCTTCTGATCGTAATGATCAGGCACTTGATTCAGTGCAGTGGTTTTGCTAATGCCAGGAGTAACTGCTATGAGAACTTTCCAAATCTGCAGCCATGAAGTTCAAAACTCTTGTTATAATTTCTATGCCTCAGACTCTACCTATGCATTCATACAAATGCTTATAGCATTGTGTTCTCAAGGGCGCTACCTTTAAAACTCTGGTTTAATGGAATTCACTCTATAGGAAGCATCACTTGACAGAAGTGTATTTCTCCTTTCCCTTCCCTTCTACTTTGTTATGTTTCTTCATAACACTGTTTGCGTTTATGTTGGACGGTTTGTAGCTAAACACACAGAGACAGGTTTTTAAAATGGACACAGTAGTAATATCAGCTGGAACTCCTCGGAGGACGCGAGAGGGAGGGGGCGGGGGTGAGGAGGAAGAACATTTAAACGCACTTTAAAGTACTCCATTACTGAAACAGTAGCTGCAGAAGTGCAGCTGGGAAGGGGCAGCAGGGCTCTTTAAATGATATTTGAATCGGACTCGCATTTTAAGTGGTGTTTATGAAGTACATATGGAACTTTCCAAAACTGTTCAGCAAGTGCCAACAAAATGTATCTATCGAGGAGATAAGAAGACAAGGGAATATTTTATTCAGTTCTTACTTGTTTTGATAGCTGGGCACATCGTTATGGTCATCATAAGTGTAGCACCTACAGTAGATTTATCAGTTTAATATTTCCCTGCAATACTAAAAACGTTTCTTTACTTAGGCAAATGCTCCTGTCTAGTTTATTCAAGGTGATTTGCCAAGCTAAGGGAGCCACTTCCTGTAACAGGTACTTTGACAAAGATAACCGACAGTCTTATATATCAAAGAGTAGTCAAACCGCAATGAGATTCAAGGCAGGGAGTGTTGGAACATTTTGTTCCAGAGAACGAACTAAAAATAACAGCCCCTCCCCATGTTGGAAGGGGGTTGATTTTCCCATTTGGAAGGGCAAAGAGAAATCAAATTATTAATGTAATCAAATAGAAAAGTCCACCCGGAGAGGCGAAGGTGAAAGGGGTTTATTCTGAAGTGTCAATGATTTAAATAAGCTAGAGTCCAGAGCCCGGCTCTGAACAAGATTTGATGGATTGTTGGAAGCTTTAACAATTTTATACCTTCCTCATGACACATCAGAACGTGGCATTTGAACAAGGTCATAATAATGCCAAACTGCATAGCCAAGTTCTGCCACTCGAAGCCAAACCTCAAAGACTCATTTTCAGCCCAAAACCGAGTTCCTTCTACAGCCTCACGTTTTACTTACCCGCAAAACAGACTTTCTAAAGATATCAAAAACTGCTTTGACATCTATTTCGGAGATTAGAGGCTAAATTGTGGTGCACGTCAGTAAGGAAATACTTAACAACATGATAATTACACCATCCACGTTACTGAAATATTTGGTTAGAGACTTTCAGCATCCACCCTGCGGGAAAAGAAAGTTTCTTTACTTGTAGACACTAAGGGAAAATAAAAGCAAAACAGCAACATCAAAAACCCCAAGCACCCACGTTTTTAATCCCCTGATCACTTTTTCTGCAGGCAGGGAAAGCTTTCCTCTTTTCCAATAAACTATTTCCAAATAGCTATTACTTCCCTATTCTCGTGAGCGGCGTGGGGTTTGTTTTTGGATTTGAATGTTTAAAGCACAATAGAGACATCATATTAAAATAGCCGGCGGCAGCCCAGCCGAGCGGCGTCGTTTCCCAGCAGTTCCGCACAGCCTCCGTGGCCGCGGAGAGCCGCGCTGCCCGGGGCGCGCTGCCGGGATGCCCCGCGGCTCTCGCCGTAGCCCTCGAGCATCCCAGCTCAGCGCCGCCGCCCCCGGCACCTCCGGCACTGGCCAGCCTTTGGGCTGCCGCCCGCCGCACCAAGGCGGGTTCTCCCTCCGGCTTCCCAGTAGCCACGGCGCGGGTGGGCGGCAGCCCGCCTTCTCCTCGTACCCACTTTGTTTTCACCTGGTACTACAGTACAAACTCTGTGTCTTCCCCTCCTCGCTTCAGACGCAAACACAAGCTCTCCTTGATTCGGCAACGCCGAGTACCCCCCCACCGAGATGGGGCGGCAGTCCCGGCCTCCCCCTTTCCCGGGGGCAAGAGGCTTTCCTCTTCCCAGCCAGGGAGCCGGGGCCGGACCTTCCCCCGTTACCTCTCTCTCGCCCACCAGGAGCAGGGGGGTAGTCCCGCACCTCTGGCCGCCGGCCCCTGCCTCCCTCAGGGTCCCGTCTGCGGGACTTCCAGCTCTTTTCCTCTTCTGTCCTCCTGTTTGTCTGCCCGCCTGCCTGCCTCCTTTTTTATTTTCCCTGCCGGTGACTTAAGCCCAAGCCAAAGGAGGCACAAGGAAAAATAGCCGTGGGCTCCAGGTCTATAAATACAGCTTGAAGCGAGCATCCAAAAGTTTGCAAAGAAAGGAAGAAAGACAGCCTACGGAGACAAAAGCCAAGCATCGCTCCGCTGCTGCCGATGCTCTGGCTCTGCTCGGGCTTCGCGGCGGATCGAGCCCGTTTGTTTGTTTGGGTGGGCTGTTTTGGGGGGGCAGGGTGGTCGGTGGTTGTTGAAGGTTCGGCACGTTCATCATTTCAGATTTAAATACGCGAATTTTAGAGGCAAATACCAGTCGATCGATCAGCCAACTTTGCAGCTGCTATTGTGAGAGTAAACTTTCTTAACGCGGCTGAAGCCACTAGTGGAGGGTGGGTTTTTTCTTTTGTTTATTTTGGTTTGGGGTTTTTTTGCAGCTGGTGAAACCTAAGAGTCTGACCATTTCCTTGTTCTCTCCATGTGTTGTGCGTCCATCGGCGAGTAAGGGGAAAAGAGGCAGTCGGCTCTTAAAAAGAGGGGTAGCGGCGCCCCTACCTGCTCTGTGTCGCTGTCTTAGAACCTGTCTTTGGAATACGCGTAAGCAGGGCTGCCGTCCGCCGTAGAAGTAACACTGGCATGTCAGAGAGGAAATGGCCAACATATGCCTGCCTTATCCTAAGTGTTTATTCATGTTAACTGCTGTCTTCTTCATCCTACGTAAGCTCTTTCTCAGTACGGAGCAGTAGCCGGTCAAAAGAACAACAACGACAAAAAGAGTCAAGGAAATGTGCATACATCGGGTGAAACACGGAGAAACCGACCCATTTTTGGAGTTAATCGATTTGGGAGATTAAGGTCGTGAGGACCAAGCAGGTCTGGAGTTAGGGAATGAAGCTAGCAAGCGGAGAAAGTGACTTTCGGTGCGCAGGCAGCCTTTGAAAGCGCAAGGAGGGACATGCCAAGCTGCCCTGCAGCGAGAATGCGAAGTGGAAGCAGAAAGAGGCCGCAAAAGAGTGAGGAAAGATGCTGCCCGGAGCGGCCGCCTGCCTCCCGCCCGCCTCCCCCGGGACGGGCGGCCCCAGTCCCAGCGGCTGCCGGAGGGGAGGGAGCGAGGGCGGAGGGGGCTTCTCCCCACGGAAGAGCGAAATAATCGGCGGCTGATGTGAGACAGAAATACAGGGTGCTGCGAAAATAAGGGCTGAAAGGCAGAAGGAAACAATCCAAAGAAGTAAATTGACGCTTCAGCCTTCAGCACTGCAGCTTTGCGGGAGTTTGTGCTTGCTCTGCACGACAAGCGCTAGGCAAAAAAGATATTCCCACACGGAAGAACTCTGCAGGCTTCAGAGGAGCTGTTTTAAGGATCCTCCTACATCTCTCACAGTGGCAGGAGGCAGCTTTACTGCTATAAAAGGGGAAACTGGAGGTTTCTGCTCGTCACCCTGCCCCCATGACACTGTTCACCGAAGGGGAAGAGTTGATCAGGCTTACCAGGATTCGAGGTTCTTGTTTAATTAGCGGTCGTGAGAGTTGTTCACAGGCATTACTTTTGGTTTGGGGAAAGGATGAGGAGATAGAAACTGAGTATCTGCTTTATCTTGGAAAATTCACCAGTGGCCAACGTCTAATAAAATAGCAATACTGCACAGCTTTTGTGGCAGCAGGGCTGTGGAGCCATCCCAATACCTACTCACTGGGCTAGCTCTCACCACATTTGGCACTTCACATGCGTAACACTTGGAGCAGAGGCTTCCCCACCATGCACATGTGCTGTCACTAGGCCACCACAGCTTTACTGATGACAGATTTCTAGTAACTGAATAGTTACTTCCAGTGGACGGATTGCACTGCCAGCCTTCTCAGCCCATCAGTCTGCCCTGGGGGTGAGCAGGGAGATGGGGGTTGCCAGGGAGCTGCACACAGATGGGGGGGGGGTGTAAAACAGCCCACAGGCATAAGCACAGGGACAGAGAGGTGCAGTCCGTCCTGCACCCACAGTAGGTGTCCCCGCTCACTGGGGTGAGCCTGCCAGCCTTCCAGGAGCAGCTTGCAGCCAGGGCTAGGTCTATTTAAAGCCACTGCTCTTGCTGCAGATTCCAGGCAGTGTATGCCAATCCCCTTGGCTTGGCAACATTATTTTTGGCTGCGGCTCCCTCCCACATTGTAGGAAATACAATAAAATTAAAACAAACATTAAAAAAAAAAAAAGGAAAGAAGAAAAAGATGCTGAGTGAGTGCTCCTGGCTGGGGAAGGAGAGGAGCCCATGGGTGTCACATGTTTTCCCTGCCACACTGTTCTGTAGTTACCTCCCCTCCAACTGTGGCACCTCTACTGGCCAGTTGTGAGGTGGCTGGTGTGGGGTGAGAGAAGGCGGCATAGCAGTGTAGCCCCACACCAGCTGCTGTGGGTCCTTTCCCACTGCATTTGCTCTGACTTCCCTGGGCTAAAAGAGTGTGGCCACTGCTGTGGTCCAAGCCCTAGGGGCAGCAGCCTACCCCAGGTCCTAGGGCAGCTGCCGGGGATGGCCTTGGGATCACCCTGATCTGGACAACTGTTTAGGTAGGACAGACCTCTCTGTGTGGGCACCGCTGGATTAGGGATGGTGTTGGGTCCTGTTGGTGTGATCTGGATTTAGTCTTCAGCTTGCCTTCAGGAGAGGTGTTAGAACAAACTATAGCTTTCCTGGAGCAGGAGGAGCCTGGTTTCTGATGTTTGCCATTCTGCTATCACAGCTTGGCCTTAAAAAGAGTAGTAATGAAAAAAGGCATTTAAACAAATCCTGTTCCTGAATTGTGGCCATGGGAGTTGTAGGCACAATGGGTACCGGAAACCAAGAAGCCCATACTTTCTCAGAAAACTTTATCTGTCAAAATTTCATAGAAAACATGAGGGGATGTGGTTCAGGGAGGGAAAGTAAATCCATTAGGGAAAAGAGAAACCTCTCTCACTGTTGCAGAAGAAAACACTGTGTAACGCTGTAATGGAAAAGCACTGATTGCTTTTTCCTCTAATTTACCAACCTATGCTTCTACCTCCATACAGAGAGCATGAATATATGCATTTATTGAAAATACATTATTTACTGAAAAATTAGTAGTATTTCTACTCAGAGGCTGTAAGTTAATTTTGCCACCTTCTTTGGAGAGGCTCTTGTATTACTTTCCTTCACACACTGTGAAGTCTGATAGAGCTTTCTCCATTTACACACCTTTCTGCTGGTTTGGCTCCTCCTACTTCCAACTTATTTTCCTCTCTTTGGCTCAGTAAGAAGCAGAAGGAAGACAGGGAGGGGTTATAATAGAAATGGTAAAGGTGGGGGCTAAGATGGTAAAAAAGAGGTGGAACTTGCTTTGAGTTTGCCTTAGCAATCAGTACCACTCTTGTGACAAAGCTTGCCTTTGCTCATCCTAGTCAAATTGAGCTGCTCTTGGCCTAGACTGACCTGATGCTGGCAGTCACATCTTCCTCTCACTTTCCCTACTTCCTCTACTCAAGAGCTGAGTGCTGTCCTGCTCTGTCACTTGCTTGTGTTAATGCATATTGTACTGCAACGTATATTACTTCATTAATCAGTTCAGCCAGTTAACAGAAAGATTAAGTCTTACCTTATTAATTTGAGTACATGCATCTCTATATTTAGAGTATTCAAAGAACTACAGGCTATGATTAAGATACAGAGAAACTCCATTATAGCCCTGTTTTCCATATGTTCAAAGTGTTCTGAAAATGTCACCTTTGGAACTCAAATTTCATGTGTCTAGTAAAAACTACTAACATGCCAGGAAGTCTTCCTCTGAACACAAACGCTGGTTTTTCAGAAAAGTTAGTATCTATTTAAAGTAAGAAGAAGGACTTTAACTTAAATACTTCCAAACAAATTTTTTTCACTCTAAACTTACATGTCCTTGAGAGACAGTATTGCTTGTCCAGCTACTGGTACAGGCAGAATATGGATTTCCTTTTAAAATTGGCTCTGAGAGGGTCACTACAGA